CCCGCCTTAGCCTCCCAAAGTGCTGGGATTACAGGAATGAGCCACTGAACCCAGCAATGAAAACTTACCAAATTTGTTGAAAAGCATAATTTACAGATTGAAGAAGCTGAGCAAAGCCTAAACAGTATAAACACCAAGAAAACTACACCCAGAAACTTCAAAAACTACTGAAAACCAAAGATAAAGAGAGAATCTTGAAAGTAGCCAGAGAAAAACCATCTATTACATACAGGATAACAATGAAAGAATACTCCTCTCCACCGGGCGCGATGGCTCACACCTGTAATCCCAGCACTTTGGGAGGCTGAGGCGGGTGGATCACGAGGTCAGGAGATCGAGACTATCCTGGCTAACATGGTAAAACCCTGTCTCTACTAAAATTAAAATAAATTAGGTAGGCATGGTGGTGGGCGCCTATAGTCCCAGCTACTTGGGAGGCTGAGGCAGCAGAATGGCGTGAACCCGGGAGGTGGAGCTTGCAGTGAGCTGAGATTGCGTCACTGCACTCCAGCCTGGGCAACAGAGCAAGACTCTGTCTCAAAAAAAACAAAAACAAAAACAAAAACAAACAAAAAAAAAACTCCTCTCATTAAGGACAATGGAGGCTGGAAGGCAGTGGAAAAACACGCTAAAAGTGCTAAACGAACAAACAAAAGCCCAACAACCTACATCAAATGCAACGTCCTTCAAGAATGACAACAGGCCTGGCACAGTGGCTCATGCCTGTAACTGCAGCACTTTGGGAGGATGACACGGGCAGATCACTTGAGTTCAGGAGGTCAAGACCAGCCTGGCCAACATGGTGAAACTCTGTCTTACTAAAAATACAAAAATTAGCCAGAAATCCCTTGAACCTGGGAGGCAGAGGTTGCAAAAAAAAAAAAGAGTAACAGCCGGGTACAGTGACTCAAGCCTGTGATCCCAGCACTTTGGAGGGGCTGAGGCAGGAGGATTGCTTGAGCCTAGGAGTTTGAGACCAGCCTGACCAACATATAGAGATCCAATCTCTACAAAAAATAAAAAATTAGCTGGGTGTGGAGGTACATGCCTGTGGTCCCAGCAACTTGGGAGGCTTAGGTGGGAGAATTGCTTGAGCCCAGGAGGTTGAGGCTGCAGTGAGCCAAGATCACACCACTGCACTTCAGCTTGAGCAACAGAGTTAGACTCTGTTTCAAAAATAAAAACAAAAAAGTGACAATACAGTCGATTTGCACTATAAGAAGTGCTAAAGAAAGTTCTTTAGGCTGAAGGAAAATGATAATGGAGGGAAATCCACTCTTCAGAAAGAAATGAAGAGTATCAGAAATGGTACATATTTGGGTAAAACTAAATGACTACTTTTTTCCTTTTTCTTTAAAATAACCACAATGGATTAATGCAAAAATTATAAGGGTCTTATGGAGTTTCTAATGTATTTAGATGTATGATATTCACATGACGGCTATAACATAAGACATGCTGGCTGCAAGGGTGGGTGGACAAATGGTTGCAATTTTCTACATTTTACATGAGATAATACAATACTAACCTCAAGTAGACTATGAAAAGTTAAAACTGTACACGGTATTTCCTAAGCAACCTCTAAACAATCATTAAAAGAAGTATGATTAAAATAATAAAAGGCCAATAGATAGAATTCCAAAAAACATTCAAACAATCCAAAAGAAGGCAGGAAACAAAACATGGGATAAAAAGGAAGCAAATAATAAAATAGTAGACTTAAACCATATCAATAATTACATTAAATGTTAATGGACTAAACATTCCATTTACAAGGCAGGGACTTCTGACTGGATAAAAAAAAAAGCAAGTCGCAACACTACACTAGTTACAAAAGACATCTATCAGTTTTAAAGACCCAGGTAAGTTGAAAGTAAATGGCTGAAAAATGATGTATCATATAGTGAATAACATGAGGAGAATGAAGTGATAAAACAGACTTCAAGACAAAGAACATCACCAGAGATCAAATGGGAACCTTTTATAATGATAAAAAGGTTGTTGTGTCAGGAAGACACAACAATCATAAACATCTATGCACCTGACAGAGCTTCAAAATACACAAAGCAAAACTTGATCAAATTAAAGTGCAGTATGAACAATTCCACAATCATAGGAGAACGTTTAACACCTCTCTCTCAGCCATTGGTAGAACTAAAAAAGGAACAAACAATGAAGACACACATAATCTGAACACTATCAGGAAGCTCAACCTCGCTGCCATTTGTAGAACATTACACCCAACAACTAGAGACACATTCTTCTCAAGTGTACATGGTTTGTTCACCAACATAGGCCATAAACAGCAACCCTTGATAAATGTGAAGGTATTGAAAACATACAGAAAATGTTCTCTAATAACAAACTGAATTAAAAATCAATAATAATAGTATTATAATAGACCTAGGAGAAGAAGCCAAGTATCTGGAAATGAAACAACACACTTTTAAGTAATCCATGGGTAAACAGAATTCACAAGGGAAACTGGGAAACATCTCAAAACTGAATGGCAATGAAGAGACAAAGTACTCAAATATATGAAATACAGGTAAAGTAGTGCTTGCGGGAAATACGTTGCTTTAAATTTATACAGACGCTCCTTGACTTACCATGGGGTTACGTCCTGATAAACCTATTGTAAGTTGAAAATATCTTAAATCAAAAATGTACTTAATATCCCAATAAATCCATCATAAAGCAAAAAATCAGAAGTTGAACCAACATAAATCCAGACACTCCTCGACTTATGATGGGACTGCATCTCAATAAAACTACTGTAAAATCAAAAAACTGTAAGTTGAACCATCGTAACTCAGGGACCGCCTGTACTAGAAAATGAAGTCTAAAATCAATGAATGAAGGTTGGAGCTTAAGACATTAGAAGAGCAAGGTAAACCCCAAATAAACAGGAGTAAGGAAATGGAAAAAACAGAAATAGAAAAGAGAAAATCAATGAAATAGAAAACAAGCAGTAGAGAAAAATGAAGCCAAAAGTTGGTTATGGAAAAGGTATGGAGAAGGTCAATGAAACTGGTAAACAGATCACCTATACCAGGAATGCTACAGGTCTTAAGGACGTTAAAAAGGGGCCAATAAGAAAACACTGCAAATGAATCGTTGCCTTCAAAGAGCTCCAAACGCTAAAGACCAAAAGGTCCACAGGGAGTGAGGGAGGTGGGGACCAGGGCAGCAGGAGCCCTGAGGAGGAGGGATAAGTGCTCATCTCTGAGCAGGCCCTGGGCCTGGGTTGCAGCCTAGAAAACGGAAAAAGGCTATGAAGCAAGCTCACTCCATCATTAAAATCCTCTCCTCCATCACCAGAGACTGCTTTTTTTTGTTTTGTTTTAAAATCCAAGTTGACAGCTATTTAACCCAATCTCTTAGGCATAATGTGCAAAACGCCCGGTGTCTGCCACGCCTGGGGATGGAAGCACAGGTGTGCTGGAGTTGGAAACTGGAGGGTCAGAGTTGGCTGATGCTCTCAGGAGACAACACCAGGCAAGGCAGTCAGGCTGAGACGCCTGCACTTACTCCTGCCGTGACAGGGGCACCACCAAGGTGACTCTAAGGTCCCCACCAGTGCTGTGTGTTACAAGGACTGTGTGGGGTGGCCGGGTCCGTGCGAGTATGTGGTGCTTGTATGATTTAGTCTTTTTTGGGAGATGAAGGGGCAGTGGAGGCAGATGACTAGAGTTGCGGGGTGGGGATGGGGATAGAGGAATAAGAACTGTGGGTGACATCCTCCTTGCCCTGACGTGGGGCCACTGGACAGCTGACTGAACCTTGGGGCTCACAGGCGAGTCACTGCAGTGACTAGGCCAGACAGCTCCCTCATTCAGCAGGAATGCAATCAGCCTGGGATACCAGCTCCCAGAGAACAGGCACCAAGGCCCGTACTCGCAGGCACCACGTACACTCCACGAAGGGAAGGAGGGCTTCGGGAAGTGCCACCCTCACACACACAGAGCAGGCGTGCGGCTCTCCCAGGCAACGTCCCACCCCACTCACCTTCGAAGGTAAGGAAGGGTTTTTCGTGAATGGGTCCGAGGTAAATGGGTCATTCTTTGTCTGTTTCTTGAAGAAGTCGTCGGTGGCAGAGCCACGGAATGGGTCACTTTCTTTGAAAGGGTCCCCTCCAAATGGATCTAGAAGGAAAAATGCCCCATGAGTAAACATTATACCGAGTGAAAGAACCCAGGCATAAAAGGACACACCACAGAATGATGCCGTTTACATGGAATTCTAGAAAGGGAAGAACGCTAGTGATGGAAAATAGGGCAGTGGTGGCCAGGGCAGCCTGGGGAGAGGGTGGAGGGTGACAACAAACAGGCCTCAGGAATGACCAAAGTGTTCTCAAATCTCACACAACTGTGCATATTTGTTGAGACTCATCTTGTTACATAATAAAATAGGTGAATTTTGTTCTGTGTACATTATACCACTCAATAAAATTGACTTAAAAAATAATAATATCCTGGCCAGGCATGGTGGCTCATGTCTGTAATCCCAACCTTCCAATCACTTTAGGAGACTGAGATAGGAGGACCATTTGAGGCCAGGAGTTCAAGACCAGCATGGGCGACACAGAGAGACCCCTGCTTGTAAAAATAAAAAAATAAAAAATTAGCCAGGTGTGGTGGCACGTGCCCGTAGCACCAGCTACTAAGGAGGCTGAGGCAGAAAGGCTGCTTGAGCCCAGGAGGTCAAGGCTGTAGTGAGCTATAATTGCACCACTGCACTCCAGCCTGGGCAACAGAGTAAAACTCTGTCTCTAAATAAATAATAATATATCCTGCAGGAGATGGATATAATAATAATAATAAACAACAATGCAGGTAAATCCATAGAGACAGAAAATAGATTAGTGGGTGCCAGGGGTTGGGGGAGGGAACAGGGAGTGACTGCTGATGGGGATGGGGTCTCCTTTTGGGGGGATGAGAATGTTGTGGAACTAGGTGAAGGCAGGTGATCACTGCACAACACTGTGAGTGTGCTCAATACCACTGAAATGGATGCTTTAAAATAGTGACTTTTACGTTATATAAATTTCACCTGAAAAAAATAAATTGGTCAGGCATGGTGGCTCACGCCTGTCATCCCAGCACTTTGGGAGACCAAGGCAGGCAGATCACTTGAGGACAAGAGTTCGAGATGAGCCTGGATAACATGGTGAAACCCTGTCTCTACTAAAAATACAAAAATTAGCTGGGCATGGTGGAGGGCGCCCATAGTCCTAGCTACTCAGGAGGCAGGGGTTGCAGTGAGCCAAGATCACACCACTGCACTCCAGCCTGGGTAGCAGAGCAAGACTCCATCTCAAAAAATAAAATAAATAAATAAATTAGCAGGCAATGTGATCCCACCGCACTCCAGGGTGGGATGCAGGCAGTGACTGGACCTAGGGAGGGGAGCCACCTCCAGAAGGGAACGGGACCGAGGATGGGTGTAACATGGATGGACGGCCATCCTTCCCAGTTACATGGCTTCCATCCTGGTGTGTGTGGACACAAGTCCCGCCACGTGAAACTTCTGAGCCAGGACTGGACACAGTCTAAAGACTGGTCCAGGAAACACTGAACTTTACCTGTTGAAGTTGTCTGCTGTTCTGCAAAGGGGTCATTCTGGAACGGGTCGCCTGGGTGGGAGAGGAGAGAAATGCTTATTAGCTTCAGGGCACAGGACGCGGGCTGGGCCCTTGAACACAGCCACCCACCTGCCAGGCCTTTCATTGCCTTCTACTCCTCCAATGTAGGGAGAGAATGTTATTTCCTTCTCCTGCCCTCCATAGAAATAATGTTATTTCTATCCACCTGCCCTCGAAACCTTGGCAAATCAAAGAGGGGGACCTGGAGGAGGCAGCTGTTTCTGGCTGGAATGTTTAAGATGAGAAGGAAGGTACTGGTGGCTGTCCCACACAGGCTGGAGTAGGGGAAGACACAGAGCGGGCTAGAATCCACTCCTCTCTTCCCATGCCGGGTTTCCTTTATCCCATCTGCCTGCCACCTCCCTAGGTAAGAGGACACAGGACCCTGGGCTGTCCCTCACTTCACCACCAGCCCTGCAGCAATGAGGCGGTGGCACCCCTGGGCGTCAGGGGCTGCTGGATTCGCCTCTCAGACCTGGCAGGCTTCAACTCCAAGCTGAAGCTCAAACTTCCACTGTTCTCTCCCCACCTCAGTGTTTTTCTCAGAAATGTACAGAGAGCCTTCCTCCTGGAAATACTGTTTTGCTCTGAAACATGGAGATAAATTAGGACATCTTGTTTCCGGAATTCTTAGTTATTCTTGATTCAGGTGTGGCTCTGGATTGACTCCTAAAATTATCCAGACCTTACGTTTATGTAGGAACCCATGGTTTGCCAGGTACTTTCATGATCATTACTAGCTCTGATTATTTTATCAACCCTGTGAGGTGAGCAAGGAGCAAATTTATTAACCTGCTGAGGGATGAGGAAATTGAAGTACTGAAGAGTTGAAGGGGACTGGCCAAGCTGCTTTCAAATGTGGGTCTTGTGGTGAGCTTGGAACGCTTCCCACTGTGTCTCGATGCCTTGGCTCTCTGGTTAACAGGGTGAGATAAGAAGCTTAAAAGGCATTCCTGCCGGGCGCGGTGGCTCACACCTGTAATCCCACCACTTTGTGGGGCTGAGGCGGCTGGATCACCTGAGGTCAAGAGTTCGAGACCAGCCTGGGCAACACGTGAAACCCCGACTCTACGAAAATAGCAAAATTAGCCGGGTGGGCGCTCGCACCTGTAATACCTACTCACACGCGGGCTGAGGCAGCGAGAACTCGTTCAACCAGGAGCGGAGGTTTGCCCAGTGCCGAGAATGCCCACTGCACTCCAGCCCTGATGGACGCCGAGAGTTCTCTCCAACAAACAAACAAAACAAAAGGCTTCCTTTCCCCACTCTCATTTCAGGACTGTGGGCAAATGTCCTTTTACTTTTCTGCTTCACTCAAACCCATGCTAAATTTGACAGAAACCACAGCTATTCAAGGAAAGTTGGGTACCAGCCAAGTTGAATACCTTGGAAGGGGATCTCGTCCCTTAAAATGGTCAGCATTGAAGGGCTTCTTCTGGAAAGGATCCGGATCAGCTCTTGCGTGTTGTTGCTAAATAAACACGGCTGATTCTTTTTGAACAAGGCTTCATCCCCTATAATTTGTGAAGAAAAACAGGCAATGGATTCTGATCTATTTCGAGTTAAAGCAAAGGACAGAAATTCGCATACTCTCGACTCACGTGTATCCACTTTGAGTAGCATGCCCCTAAAAAGAAATGATTCAGCCAGGAGTTCGAGACTCGGCCTGGGCCACTTAAGCAAAGCCCCATCTCTATAAAAACAGAAACATTTAAATAAGTGTGCCAGGCGCCGGGGGCGCACGCCTGTAATCCCAGCACCTCTGGGAAGGCCAAACGCGAGGCGGATCACCTGAGGTCAGGATTCAAGACCAAGCCTGGCCCAACATGGTGAAACCCTGTCTTTTACTGTAAAATACAAAAAATTAGCTGGGGTTAGTGGCAGGCACCTGTTAATTGCAGCTACTTGGAGGCTGAGGCAGGAGAACGCTTGAACCCCAGGAGGCGGAGGTTGCAGTTGAGCTGAGATTGCGCCATTGCACTCCAGCCTGGCGTGACAAGAGTAAGTGAGATTCTGCCTCAAAAAAAAAAAAAAAAAAAAAAAGGCCAATACTGGTGGACATGACCCATAGCTCCCAGCGACTTGGTGAGGACCTGACTCACGAGATTGGCTTGAACCCCAGGAAGGTGGAGGTTACAGTGAGCTATGATTGTGCCACTGCACTCCAGCCACAACAGTGCAAGACCCTGCATCTTTAAAAAAATAAAGATCACTGAAGAAATATGAACTGGAGTGAATAATAATGTTCAATACTGGTTCATTGGTCGTGACGAATGTACTGTATGTGATGTGACTAACAGGAGGAACCAGGTGTGGGATATAGAGGAACTATGCACTATCTTGCAGTTTTTCTTTTTCTGAAACGGTCGCACTCTGTTGTCCAGGTTGGAGTGCAGTTGCACGCTCATGGCTTACTCCAGCCTTGACCATTTGGGCTCAAGTGATCCTCCCACATTGGTCTCCTGAGTAGCCGGGACTACAGGCGTGCACCACCAAGCCTGGCTAATTTTTATATTTTTTGTAGAAATGAAGTATCTCACTATGTTGCCAGGGCTGGTTTTGAACTCGTGAGCTCAGCTGATCCTCCCACCTCAGCCTCCCAGTGTGCTGGGAATATAGGCATGAGCCACCACACCTGGCCTATCTTTGCAATTTTTTCATAAATCTAAAAACTATTCTAAAATAAAAGTTCATTAAAAAGTCATTGAGTGGAAGCAACTTCAATGTCCATCGATGAATGAATGGATAAATGAAATGGAAAAACAAAATTGTTTTCTGAGTCAGAAAAAAATAATGAATTTGGAAATGTCATCAAGAAAACTGTAAAGAGCCACACAACAGAATCTGATCCAGCCTTCAAAAGGAAGCAAATTCTGATACATGCTCCAACATGGAAGAACCTTGAGGACAGGATGCTGAGTGAAATAACAGTCACAAAACGATGCACAAGGTATGACTCCTCTTCTATGAGGACCCTAGAGCCATCACGTTCACAGTGACAAAGTAGAACAGTGGTTGCCAGGGGCTGTGGGTGGGGGGATGGGGAGTGGGTATTTCATGGGGATGAAAACTTTCTAGAGCTGGGTTCCACAACAATGTGAATATACCTAACACTACCAAACTGTACACTTAAAGACAGTGAAGATGGTCAAGTTTATGTCTTTTTTTTTTTTTTTTTTTTTTTGAGACAGAGTTTCACTCTTGTCACCCAGGCTGGAATGCAGTGGCACAATATTGGCTCACTGCAACCTCTACCTCCCGGGTTCAAGTGATTCTCCTGCCTCAGCCTCCCGAGTAGCTGGGATTACAGGCGCACGCCACCATGCCTAGCTAATTTTTGTATTTTTAGTAGAGACGGGGTTTCACCATATTGAGCAGGCCAGTATTGAACTCCTGACCTCAAGTGATCCACCAGCCTCGGCCTCCCAAAGTGCTGGGATTACAGGTGTGAGCCACCATGCCCGGCCGTTTATGTCTATTTTACCTGAAATTTAAACGATATTTTTTTAACCACTGAGTCAGAAAAAAATAATACATTTGGAAATGCCATCAAGAAGACTGCAAAGAGTCACTCAACGACAGCAGCACAGGCCTCATTTCAAAGGTGTGACCTTCCTCAATCATCCTTTTCTCGGTGAGTAGGTACCTAGGTGGGTATTTGAGAAAATGGAGTTTTCATACCAAGAAACATGCTGGTTGTTTCTGTGCTATGAGGAAATAAGTACTCATGCAGTTAGAATTACTAGAGCATACACAACGCTTTGCATTTTTTTTAAAGGTGTGTATTTCTAGAAACAAACAAGTTCATTTAAACAAGAAGAAAAAAATATTTACTTTTGAAGAGCACATTTTTGTAGTGGGAAGTAGCCTGAAAAGGGTGGGTTTGTCATATACACGGGAACAATGCAGTTGGTTTAAATAAGGACTCTGTTTTAGTTAATAAAGACACACCCTCAGTGAAAACATGAATGTTTCACTGTGATATTAAAAAAACAGCACAACACCCTCACTGAATTTGGCACACACACTGGCATCCCTGCATGGGGCTCACACACCAGTCCAGTATTCCAACCGACCAAAACAAAATCATTAAAAAGCTGGGGCTTCCACGAAAATAGGGACAAATGGTTTGGGGCAATGACATCAAAGGTTCAAAAGAAAGTTTCCTGGCAAGGCTGCCACCACCGTGGGGCAGCCAACTTAGGGGTGCAGGACAATTCTGAGAGGTACAAAGTTAAGACGAGCCACTGGTCCAGGCTGTGAATGAGTGAATTAGTGTGAGTGCTTCTTCCTCAGTCCCCGCTTCGGGAGAATGCACCCACATCCCTGCCATCTGATGAACATGGAATGGTTTTTCTTACCTGGGAAACATTAGCTGGAGCCTCCGACCACAGGGTTTTCCCAAGGTGGGGAAACTAAGCCAGGTTCTTAGACAAGTTAAGTACAGATGTCCACAAGCACCGCAGCTGGAGACAGTGCCGAGTGGATGTCAGGTGCTGACCACCACAAGACACACACGCCCAGCGAGCGTCTGATGGGGTTCTCGGACGCAGATAAAGATGGAGAGGTCCTACTCTAAGGAAGCCAGGAGGCCCACATGGAAACTCCGCCTCTCACACTGCTCCATGGAAGGAGGAATGTATTTGTTCCAGAAGAAAGAGAGGGATCATGACCTGGATAAAGCAGTGAGTTCAGAATGCCAGTCTGACCTCAGAATGAAAGCTTCTATTTAGTTTGTTTGTTTTTAAAGGTAGGATCTCACTGTGCTGCCCAGGCTGGAGGGCAATGGCTATTCACAGGTGCGATCCCACTACTGATCAGCATGGGAGTTTTGACCTGCTCTGTTTCTGATCAGGGCAGGTTTACCTCTCCTTAGGCGACTGGTGGTCCCCTGCTCCCAGAAGGTACCATACTGATGACTAACTTAGTGTAGACACCCAATGAGCACAGCACACTACAGCCCGGAACTCCCGGGCTCAAGGATCCTCCTGTCTCAGCCTCCCAAGTAGCTGGGCCTACAGGCACTCGCCACCATGCCTGGCTCCATTTAGTTTTTCATTGGCATTTATTTATAAGGTTTTCTTTTTTCAGTGTTTTCAGTCATCACTTGGAAGACTTCCAAATAACAGTTAACAATGGCAGAAAAGAGACTTAAGGTTCTGGGAACGCAGGTTGCAAGCCCCCTGCACTGATAGTCAGGCCTGCAATCCCTTTCTCAGGAGTCACTGGCCTGAAACCACAATCACTCCTTCCCCTTCTAAGGGGAAGCCTGAGACCCCAGCAGGATTCAGGAGGTCAGGGTACCTAAAGGTGGTTTTGATTCCATTGCACAGAATCAGAGTGGGAAATGGGATTTCCCTGTTACAAAGATACCATCAATTCTACCCCCTGCAGACCACCTACCAAGGAGAAAAGACCCATCTGCCAACGTGGGGGACACGAGTACAGCAGACAAAGGCCAGGATGAATGACACGGCCCTTCGCAGAGATGTAGTATCTTGAACAAGTTCAGCAACCAGTGTGAAGTAGTGCCCTTCTTAGGAAATACACATGGTAACTCTGAAAGGGGGCTCAAGAAGCTTGTGTGACATTCCTGCCTTTAGAGGAGTGCCAGGCAGCAGGGGTGTGCTGGGAATCAGTTCTCTCAGAAAAAAGCCCTGGTTTAGAGCTTCTGCCAATTCCTGTGGTATAAACAGTCTCACCGTGGTTGATTTCAAGTTTCCAAGCAACCAGCTCACAAGTTCCTGTTTTTTTTTTTTGGGGTTTTTTTTTTTAAGAGATTGAGTCTCGCTGTGTCACCCAGGCTGGAGTGCAGTGGCACACACCTGGCCTCAAGCAATCCTCCCACCTCAGCCTCCCAAAGGACTGGGATTACAGGTGTGAGCCACTGTGCCCGGCCAGTTTCTATTTAATAATCGGTTCTGGAAAGTCAATAAAAACTGGCTCCAGCATGCCACTGGGGCTGGATGTGACAGATGATCCAACCTTTCTTAATCTGTCCTCAGTAAGACCTAAGTCTGGGATGACTTATTAGCTTCTCTCTACAAGTTGATTGGATGGTGAGCAAGAGGCCAATATTCTCATAATCAGATGAGAGACAAGAAATAAATATGGTTTTAAGAACCCTGACTTTGGCGGGGTGCCATGGCTCACGCCTCTAATCCCAGCATTTGGGGAGGCCGAGGCGGGCGGATTGCCTGAGGTCGGGAGTTTGAGATCAGCCTGGGCAACACTGCAAAACCTCATCTCTACTAAAAACACAAAAATGAGCTGGGCGTGGTGGCACGTGCCTGTAATCTCTGCTACTTGGGAGGCTGAGGCAGGAGAATCACTTGGACCCAGGAGGCCGAGGTTGCAGTGAGCTGAGATCGTGCCACTGCACTCCAGTCTGGGAGACAGAGTAGAGACACTCAGTCTCAAAAAAAAAAAACAAACAAAAAACCCTGACTTTTGAGATAAAGTCACACTGCGTGAGTTTCACATGGAATTTAGTAACTTGAGTAGAACTGTCCAAACATAGGAAGTTTCAGATGTACCACTGTGGATACACTATTCTCAGGGACTTAAAATCCCCAACTTCAACCCACAAGGGAGAACTAAGGCACCTCTCCCTCGGCTCTGAAGCAGTCTTGAAGTGTTCAGGAGTAAACAAAAATCTCTCTTCCAAGTATTTATTAAGAAATAGAAACAAGTCAGAAAAATGCTTTAAAAACTGTATTTGTACAACAAGATAAAGACAGTTTTTCTTTCGGACGCCGGTTGCAAATTTCCATGTAACATATCTTATATCTACATTCCCAAAGTAATTGTCTCTCATGTAACCTTTGCCCTGCCCAAAAGATGAACAAAAATAACAAGAAAGGTAAAAATCTGTCTTTGGAGTTGGGGGAATCACTGGCCTCTTGCAAACTGCCACTTCACTGCCAACTTTTATCCAAGAAAACCGGTTTCTAAAAACCTGCAAAAGGGACGTTGAAGAGGAAGCTGTTCCCTGAACGAAGACTGAGCAGGACAAGCCAGAAGCAGTGCCAGGGGACAATGCCAGATGGGGAAAGTAGGAGCCGGGTTGTGAGGCGGAAACACACACGCCAAGAACAGTCAGGGAGCAAAGCGAAGAGTTCTGGCTTCTCGTAATTCATGAAGGATGAATGCTCATTGTTTAAATTTAGACGATAAAGCTGAAGATGACGGGCCCGGGGGCGGCTATGGAAGCCACCTCATTACGAGTCCACGAGAAAAGAGAGTCTGGGGGGAAAGAGGGAGGCAGTACACCCAGTGTGGGCCAGACACAAGAGACAGATGAGCTCGCCAGCAGGGCCTTCCCAGCAGCCCAGGGGATGCGTGTGCTTCCCCATAAATCCTTGGGACTGAGGACTCGGCTGCTGAGAAGAGGAACAAGTCAAGCATTGAACATAAAGAGGCAAGTGTGGTGTTTAGAGAGCATGAGCGCTCACTCCTATTCCAGGGAGGAAGAGGAATCCATGACGAACACAGACCCACGAGCAGAAGGGCTCCAGGAAGGAGCCCGGGGAGAGAGGGTGGCAGCACGGAGAGAGCTGCTCGAGGCAGCAGAGCACCAAGGAAACATCCAGACCCGCGCGGCCCAGCCCATCCGCTCCCGCAACAGCACCAAGACAAAATGGGAAGCTGCATGTCCCCAGGTTCGAGGCTGCAGGGGCAGACTCTGGCATGAACAGGGGGGATGTGACCACCTAGGAAAAGATCACACCTGTCTCGGTATCAGGGGTTCGAGATCTCTCAAAAATCTAGGGGGCCAACAGTCCCCTGCCCCAGGCCTGATCACAACTCTAAGGTCATGAGATGGGAGTAAAGTGCAGAGGTTTTTAAACATCATCAAAATTTCAGGAGAGGCCAATTCTTAGTTGAAACAGGAACACCCTGGGAGGGCTGCCTGCCATTATTTCCTCATCTTTAGCAACACATTTGCTTTTCAAGGTGTTCCTTGTGGAAATACACATATCCATAGACACATACCCCTCAGATGTCCCCTGCCCCCGATCAGTAGAATGTGGGGTTTCCACAATGAGTAGAAACGGATCCAATTTTGGTTAAGTTTGAGAAGCCCTCTGAATTTGGGTGGTTGGCCCAGTGTAATGCTTCCGCAGAGATGGAGGGCTTTCAAAACAGGTTTTGAAAGGATCCTGGCCTATCTTGGACTTTGTTCTGGAAGCCAGGATTCAGCATGGCCACCTGTGCCAGGCTGCGAGGCTTGGTGTGAACGCACAAAGTGGCAGCAAAACCAAGAGACAGCCGCCTGCGCTCGGATGGAACCAACGCTGGCCATGAACAGATCTGGCGGGTGGGATGTTCTGCTGTCACACCCGGGGACCAGAGCGCCGTACTGTAATACATTTATTCAACCTTTACCATGGCTCCAAAACCGCCCCTCTCTGCCAGGGAGACGCCTTCGCTCAGGTCGGCCAGGTCGGTCAGGCTGGCGCCATGGGCTCCATCGAGCACCTGGTCATACTGCTCCAGGCTCCTGTGGGCCTCCTGGCGGCTTTCATGCAGCTGGGAAAGTTTGCTCCTTGCCTGTGCAACAAAGACATCATCAGCATTAAACAGGGTCAGGAAAACACGTCAGGAAAGACTTTTTTTTTAAGACACAGGGTCTCACTCTGTCGCCCAGACTGGCGTGCAGTGGAGTGATCATAGCTCACTGTAGCCTTGAGCTCCTGGGCTCAGAAACTCCTCCTGCCTTAGCCTCCTGAGTAGCTGGGACTGCAGGCGCACATCACCACCTATATTTTTGGGCAACATACCGAGGCCCCATCTCTACAAAAAATGTATCTTTTGTAGAGATGGGGTCTCACTATGTTGCCCAGTCGGGTCTTGAACTCCTGGCCTCAAGTGATCCTCCTGCCTCAGCCTCCTAAAGTGCTGGGATGACAGGTGTAAGGCACTGCACTGAGCAAAGCAAGATATCTTTGCTCCTGACACCCAACTACAAACTCTAAGAGTTAGAAAGCACTGAAAGTAATCCTACAGATATTAACCATAAAGCACAAGAAAAGGCAGTAAATCTCTGAGCAGTCCATGTTTATGATCAACTGTGGCCTATAAACTGGCTAACAGAGCAGAGAGAGAGACCGGTTCAATTGGGAAAGGAAGTGTGCCTGGCCACTCCCAAACAGGCCGAGGGCCCGTGTCACAACCACTCTGCAGACTAGATGCCCAGGGCCAGGACAGAGGCCTTCAACTACTGCCCACAGGAGAGCAGGGAAGGGCAACAGCTGCAGGCCACGAGAAGCCAGCACCACCCTGGACTGGGAAGAGGGTGGGGGCACCCCAGACAGCTTCGAGAATGGGGGTCCTGCATGGTGCGATGCTCCAGGGTGATGCCTCCTGAACACACCAGTGACTGCAGAGGACATCTGTTCTCTTGCCCAGGGACAAAGGAGTCATCTCTCTGACTTTGTCCCTCTTGTTTGTGTGAGGACCAGGCTGGAAGGAACCCCAAGGTCTCTCCAAATGAGTCATTAATTAAACGTTCCCACCACGCCCCGCCTACTCCCTGAAGATGCTGTGTGCTCAGGAAAGGAAAGTGGACTCCTCCAGGCAATGCCAACACCCTCTGGAACATGCCCTGGGGAGTTCTTGGCCCTGCGCCTCCAGGCCAGCACCACGGCCTCCCAAAAGAGACCTTCACTAAGTAACAAGGGTGAGAGCAAAGGAGTCCAGCAGTGGCAGCCTCAGCTCTTGGGGCTCGCTGGTCCATGGCACGTGGCAGGGACCCGGCTCCACAGAAGCACCTGGTTGATTTCATCTTGCGTTGACTTCAGGGACTTGATAATGGTTTCCAGCTGGACTCGCCCGGCCTGAATGCTCTGCTCCAGCTGGGTTTCCTCCTGCTGCAATCGGTTCAACTCCGACTTGGCTCGGTTCAGATCGTCTTCCTGGGACTTTAAGTCCGATTCCTGAGACTGGATTTGCGTTTTCAATGATGAGATCTGAAATGAGATGTTAAAAGATGTTAAAGGGATTCACAGTGCATGATGAAATGGGACTCCGAGAAAGAACTCATAGCCCCCATCCCTGAAACAAGCTAACCCAGGGAGGCGGACACCTAACCAGGCCCAGACACCTCACAGGCTTCCTTACAGGCCTCTTTCCACACCCAAAACAGAGACACAGAAAAGGCAGACAGGCTCCTCCCGCTGTGGCTAATGGAAGCTCACTTTGGAATAATGAGGGGCATGACCAAGCATGAACGATCTGTCCGTGACCCGGGAGACTGAGCGTCCCCATAGTTTTCTGAGGTTGCAGCCTCTGGAATCTGTGTGGAGCCTCAGAGACACCCGAGGAGGGGAGACAGGCACCCTGGAACTCCCTGTGTTGTGGCGCACAGGCAGGGTGGGGTGTGTTCAGGGCACAGGTTCACAGGGACCAAGGCCATTCACATATACAACCTGACTTCTAGGAGCACGGCGGGTGGCCAGGAAGTCAAGCCACTGGTGCTCGGACACTTCTGCGTGGTATTTGGAGCAACTCTATTGACCCAGTAGGATGTCTAAGTGTTGTGTTCCCAGGTAACATGAGCACAGGGGAGCCCTCGGGAACCCCTGTCCGTGCGCAGGGCGCTGCCCCGGACGTGGCTGGGACCCACCATCTGAGTCTCGTCCTGGCACTTCTGCCGCACATCACTCAGCATGTCTCGGAGCTTGGCCTTCTGCTGGTCCATCTCGTCCAGGCGGTCTTGAGCATCCTGTTTCTGAGCCTCAAGCTCCTGCAAACTGCTTGTTTCCCGGTCTAGGTCATTTTGTAATTCCTAGGGAGGAGTTGCAGGGATTTACGTGAGGATGGGAAAAATGAAGCATGTTCAAGATAACAGGAGGGCAGCCTGGGCCAGAAGCCGCAGGGAAGCCTCCGAAACCACGTGGCAGGACCGTGCTCAGGGCCAGCATTCCGTGCACACCCACGGCCAATGTGTGCCTCCTGGGCTGGAGGCCCGGGTCCACTCTCTCAACAGCTCCCTCAGCAGGTATTTCTCGATGGCCTGACAGGCCAGGTGCCAGAGAAGGGGCTGGGTCCCCGTGAGAAAAAGGCCCCAGCTCCCGGATGACTGTGGAGGGGAACATCACCCAAACACAAATAAACGGGGACAAGTGGCACCAAGGGGGTCACAGGGAAACTGCAGTCACACCTTGTGGGCAGGGAAGATGCCCACAAAAGCAACATTTAGGGTGGTGCCAACAGGGGAGCAGGTGTCAGGCAGGGGAAGGGCCAGGGGCAGAGCCTGGTGGAGGGAACCACAGGGGCCCTGAGGTGGGGGGATGTCGCACTCCAGTTGGAGCAAAAGGGAACGGGCCGAGGCATCAGAGGCTGCACCCTACAGGCCACGCCAAGGAGATGGTGCTGGGCTCTGCGGTGGGGAGGTGAGATGTGCAAGCGTGGGAGGCAGGACATCATGATTCTGTTTCTGAAGCTCTCTCTGACCCCGTGGGATGGATCCAGATGGTCAGCCCGAGGCTCTACCGCCCCATGATTCCACTTCCAAGAAAAGCATCCTGGAGGCATATGACATGTGCAGAGGCACACAATGTCTTTGACAGCAAAATCCGTAAACAATGCAGATGTCCGTGAGGTACTGGCTGGAAGGTTCCAGCACAGCCCACACTGTGGGACGCTCCTTGGCCATGGAACGGGATGGCGCCAGGTGCTCTGCCTTACAGTAGGACAAGAGCACATTGCATTTGTGTGAACAGGAAGGGGAGGGTATGCCTTTCTGGAAGGCCCCCACCCCAAGGAGCTCATAAACAGCACCTCCAGGGATGGGGGCACCCAAGGAGAGGGCAGAGGCTTCTCACCTCCTGATTTTCAACTGTGCAAATGCATTATCTGTCTTTAAGATAAATAACCAAAGCTGAAATAGCACAAACGGGCATTGTGAGAAGCCCCCTCCCTCCAGCTGCCATGTGGAGCATGATACAAGGGGCTATCAGGACGCAGGAACTGCAGGGGCCTCGTGTGGGGTCCAGGGAGAGGCAGCGGCAGCCGGGGCCTGAGCAAGGTAGTGGTCATGAGAATGGACAGGACGCATGGGTTTGCAGGGAGCCATGGCTGGGCGGTGGGGCTGAATCCCAGAGCCGGTCTGGGCTGCTGGGGTGGCTGGTGCCTTAAGATAAGAAAACCAGAGGTGGCCCGGGGTCTCCTCACTACAGGGACAAAGACGTCATGGCACTTCCCTGCTTCAATGGGCAAATCATGCCTCAGGAAGCTGGGGTGTCCGCTCCCCAGCCTCCCTGCCTCTGGCCTTTCACTTGAGGGCTGGATCTGGAGGGGACAATCAGGGTCACTTCTGGACATGTTCGACAGGAAACTCGGGAGAAAGACTCCAGCCAGTGTGCCAGGAAGGGAAGACGCTGGAAACACAAAGTCAGGCGTGTCAGCATCAGGTGGTATTTAAACATGTGGGAATGGGTGAGGTGTCCAGTGGGAGGCACGGGGAGAGCCCGAGGTAGCCCAATGCTCCGAGCGATGCTCCCACCAGGGATGGAAGCCTCTAGAGCCTCCTAAGTAAAACCCTGGCCCCACCACCGGGTAACGCTGGCAGCAACTCCCTGATGTCCTGGGCCTCAGGGTTCTAGTTAGGGCCACACTGGCTCCTTCCAGGCCACAGCCCATGGCTCCAGGACACCAGAGGCTCCAATGCCTTTGGCCTGCCCAGAGAAGGTCCCTCCTTTACATCCCCCTCAAACCAAAGATGACAAAATGTGTATACCACACACTTCATGCACAGAGCAGAGAATATTTGCCCAGAAGAGGCATGACAGGAGGACAAGAGGGAACTCACTGGCCACGTGCCATGTACTGAATGTCTGCTGTTGAAATTCTCACCCCCAAGATGATGGTATTAGGTGTGGGGCCTCTAGGAGGTGATTAGGTCATAAGGGTTCAGCCCTTGTGAGTGGGATTAGTGGCCTTATAAAAGAGGCCCCTGAGAGCTGCCTCAATCTTTCCACTGAGTGAGGACACAGCAAGAAGGTGCTGCCTATGAACCAGGAAGTGGGTCCTCACCAGATGCTGAATCTGCAGGCCCCTTGATCTTGGACTTCCCAGCCCCGTGAACTGCGAGCAGTAAACTTCTGTTGTTTATAAACCACCCAGTGCATGGTGTGCTATTATGGCAAGCTGAATGGACTAAGACACACACGACATGTCAGTGTCTGCAGTGACAAAGGTGCTCAGGGTACCTCACCATTTCTCTAAGAGGGTTCTCACAGTCTAAACCCCTCCTCAGAAGCTCCTGCCCTACTCACTCTTGGCTCTCCCTTACCTTTCTTCTCCCTGCTCCCCAGCATTTTCTTTTTTTCTTTTGAGACAGACTCTCACTCTGTCACCCAGGCTGGAGTGCAGTGGTGCAGTCTCAGCTCACTGCAACCTCCGCCTCCTGGGTTCAAGGGATTCTCAGGCCTCAGTCTCCCAAGTAGCTGGGACTACAGGTGTACACCACCACGCCCAGTGGTGGTTTTTTTTTTTTTTTTTTTTGATTTTTAGTATAGACTGGGTTTCACCATGTTGGCCAGGTTGGTCTTGAACTCCTGGTTTCAAGTGATCATCCGGCCTTGGTCTCCGAAAGTGCTGGGATTACAGGTGTGAGCCACCGTGCCCAGCCTTCTTTTCCTCTTCTTGATTCTTGCTTTCTCCCTCCCTGATATATAAATCAATAAAACTGAAATACATAATTGTTTAAACCTTGCTGGGTAATTTTTTGCACATAGTTTCTCCTGCATTTAGGAAACTGAGCTGCAGTTTCCTTCAGGGCAGTCTCTGTCTTCCCCCTTCATTGAAAAAGGTCATTGTTCAGTCAGGCCACAGCGCAGCCAACCTCCGTGACGTGACAACTCCTGGATTCCCCTAGACACTAGTGGAGACCCTAGGCCAGAAGGGGTGGCTGCTGATGGGATGGGGCTGTGTCTCCAAAACCCTGAACTGAGGCATCAAGTCTAACAAGTTTGGGGGTGAACACTGAATAACTGAAACAGAGTTAGTTGTGGGAGTCAGGGGTGTAGGGTGGCCACATCTAAGGGGAGTAATGGATAAGGGAGGGGAAGACAGGAAGAGGGTTAGGCCCGGTGTTACCTGGACACCAGGTAACAATAGTGTGGAACTGAAGGAATCTGGACCTTATTCCGTAATGGAGAAGGAGCTACCGGAAAGTCCCAGAGGGACAAAGATCCACCAGCTCGAGGTTAGGAAGGGGAGCAAAGAGAAGACAAAAATAACCCCGACAGTCCACGGAGTCCACACAATCCCTGTCAGAATCCCAGCTGGCTTCTTTGCAGAAACAGACCAGCTGATTCCAAAATTCATATGGGGCCAGGCACGGTGGCTCACGTCTGTAATCCCAGCACTTCGGGAGGCCAAGGCAGGCAGATCACCTGAGGCCAGGTGTTTGAGACCAGCCTGGCCAATATGGTGAAACCCAGCCTCTACTAAAAATACAAAAATTAGCTGGGCGTGGTGGCACACACCTGTAATCCCAGCTACTCGGGAGGCTGAGGCAGGAGAATCACTTGAACCCAGGAGGCAGAGGTTGCAGTGAGCTGAGACAGCATCACTGCACTCCGGCCTGGGCGACAGAGTGAGACTCTGTCTCAAGAAAAAAAAAAAATCATATGGAAACACACGGGACCCAGAATAGCCATGACAATACCGACAGAGAAAAAAAAGATGGAGGATGCCCATTTCCTGATTTCAAAACTTCTACAGAGCTGCAGTAATCAAGCCAGCGATGTAGTGGCATGATGAGATGCAGATAGGTCAATGGGATAGAAATAAACGCACACAGCTACAGTCAACTCATCCTTGACAAAGATGCCAGGGCCATTCAATGGGGGAAAGAAAAGCCTCTTCAACAAATGGCGCTGGCCCAGCATGGTGGCTCACACCTGTAATCCCAACACTTTGAGAGGCCAGAGTGGGAAGATCCCTAGAGGCCAGGTGTTTGAGATGAGCCTGAGCAACAGAGTGAGATCCTGTCTCTAAAAAAAAAAAGAAAAATGTTTTTGAATTAGCTAGGTGTGGCAGGGCACACCCTGTAGTCCTAGCTACTCAGGAAGCTGATGCAGGAGAATCCCCTGAGCCCAGGAGTTGGAGGCTGCAGTGAGTAAGAATCACACCACTGCACTTCAGCCTGGGCAACAGAGCGAGACTCTGTCTCTAAAAACAATTTTTTTAAGTAAAATAATAAAAACAATGGTGCCAGGACAACTAGATGTCCACATGCAAAAGAATGACGTTGCATCCCTGCCTTATTCTATATACAAAAATTAACTAGAAATGGATCAAAGACCTACATGGAAAAGCAAAAACTATAAAACTCTTAGAAGAAAACACAGGGGTGCAACAGCAGCAAAAAAAGAATAAACTGGACTTCACCAACATTAAAAACTTGTGCTTCGAAAGACACCATCGAGAATGTGGAAAGACAATCCACAGAGAGGACTCTCAGTGGATGCTGAGAAGGTATTTGCAAGTCATATATCTGACAAGGACTTCTACCTAGAAATGATAAAGAACTTTTCAAATTCAGCTCTAGCTATAGGCCAGGGCAGTGGCTTCCACCTGTAATCCCAGCACTTTGGGAGGCCGAGGTGGGAGGATCACCTGAGGTCAGGAGTTTGAGACCAGCCTGGCCAACGTGGTGGAACCCCGTCTCTACTAAAAATACAAAAATTAGCTGGGTGTGGTGGTGCACACCTGTAATCCCAGCTACTTGGAAGGCTGAGGCAAGAGAATCACTTGAACCCGGGAGGCGGAGGTTGCAGTGAGCTGAGATCACACCACTGCACTCCAGCCTGGGCCACAGAGTGAGACTCCATCTCAAAAAAATAAAAATAAAAACAGCTGTAAAAAGAACCCAATTAACTGGGTGTGGTGGCACATGCCTGTAATCCCAGCTACTCGGGAAGCTGAGGCACGAAAATCATTTGAACCCAGGAAGTGGAGACTGCAATGAGCTGAGGTCGCACACTTGCACTCCAGCCTAGGCAATAGAGTGAGACTCTGTCTCAAAAAAAAAAAAAAAAAAAAGCAATTTAAAAATGGACATGAAAAAATATTTTTCAATACAAAAGGGCAAGGAATCGGAATTGATTTTTCTCCAAAGACTACATACAAATGGCCAATAAGCACATGGAAGGATACTCAACGTCAATGAGGGACATGCCAGTGAAACCCACAATGAGACAGTGCTCCACACCCACCACGACGGCTACAAGGAAAAATGGGAAATCGGTAAGTGTTGGTGAGACTGTGCAGAGCTGGCACCCTCATACACCGCTTATGGGAATGTAAAATGGTACAGCTACTTTGAAAAACAGTCTGGCAGCTCCTCAACAGTTACCATGTGGCCCAGCAAGTTCATTCCCAGGTATACACTCGAGATAAAGGCAAACAGGTGTTCACACAAAAACTTGCAGACAAATGTTCCTAGCAACAATATTTACAAAGCCAAAAAGTGGGAAAACCCAAACATCTATCAATTGAGGGATGGATGAGTAAAATGTGGCCCATCGTGGCTGGACACGGTGGCTCATGCCTGTGATCCCAGCACTCTGGGAGGCCGAGGCAGGCAGATTGCTTGAGTCCAGGAGTTCGAGACCAGCCTGGACAACACAGTGAGACCTCGTCTTTACAAAAAAAATTAAAAATTAGCCAAGCATGGTGGTGCGTGCCTGTAGTCCCAGCAACTTGAGAAGCTGAGGTGGGAGGATCACCTGAGTCTGGGAGGCAGAAGTTGCAGTGAGTGTGTCACTGTACTCCAGCCTGGGCAATGGAGTGAGACTCTGCCTCTTAAAACAAAAAAATGTGCTCCATCCACACAATGGAATATTATTCTGCCATAAAAAGGAATGCAATGCTAATACATGTTACAATACAGATGACCCTCAAAAACATGATGCTGAGTGGAAGAAGCCAGGCACAAAAGGTCATGTGTTGTATGATTCCACTGACAGGAGATGTCCGGAACTCCCAGGTATCCACCTGAGATAAATGCAAACAGGTGTTCACACAAAAACCTGCAGGTAATTGTTCCTAGCAACATTATTCACAACAGCCAAAAAGTGAGAAAACCCAAATATTCACCAATGGGAGGAACGGACGAAGAAAATGTGCCCCGTCGTGACCAGGTGACCGGGTACAAATCCATACACACAGAAAAAAAATGAGTAGTTGCCAGGAGCTAGAGAAAGGGGAGAATGGGAAGTAACTGCTTAATGGGGATGAGGTTTCCTTTTGGGTTAATGGAAAGTTAGTGTCAAACTCTTCCATTCACTGAAAGAGAACAGTTAATGGTGAATCTTTCAGAAAGTAACCTTCCATTTACTGTTCAGGGCTGGATGTTCTTTTATGGGCCTACTGGCGCCTATGGGAGAAACAATCAGGTTCTGACTCGATAGAGTGATGGTTAATCAACACGGTGATTATGCAAAACACCACTGAAATGTACACTTCAATACAGCACATTTTACACGAATTATATCGTCATCCCTCAGATTGGTATCAAAATCTGCAGATGCTCAAGTGTGACGTAAACCGGTTTAGTGTTTGCATGTAACCTACACACATCACCTACCCTGCCACCACCCCATATTACTTACTTATTCATTTATTTTTCAGGCAGAGTCTCACTCTCTTGCCCAGGGTGGAGTGCAATAGTGCAATCACAGCTCACTACTGCCTTCAACTCCTGGGCTCAAGTGATTCTCCCACCTCAGTCTCCGGAGTAACTGGGACTACAGACACGTGCCACTACACCCGGCTTTTGCAAATATTTTGTAGAAACGGGGTCCCACTGTGTTGCGCAGGCTGGTCTCAAATTCCTGGGCTCAAGTGATCCTCCGGCCTTGGCCTCCCAAAGTGCTGGGATTACAGGTGTGAGCCACCACAGCCAGACTTGTATACTTTAAATTATCTGTAGGTTATTTATAATACCTAATATAATGTAAATGCTATGTAAATAGTTATATTGTACTGTTTTATCAATTTGGATTATTTTTTATTGGTTTTTTTTTTTAATCTGTGGTTGCTTAGATAAAAGGATGCAGAACCCTTGGATACAGAGGACCAACTTGTCTCAATTTTAGAAAAAGAGAAGCCACTGTCTATGGTTATAAGCAACTTTAAAAACTTCACCCTGTAATTCCAGCACTTTGGGAGGCTGAGGCAGGCAGACCACAAGGTCAGCAGATTGAGACCACCCTAGCCAACATGGTGAAACCCCATCTCTACTAAAATACAAAAAATTAGCCAGGCGTGGTGGTGCGTGCCTTGTAATCCCAGCTACTCAGGAGGCTGAGACAGGGGAATCACTTGAACCCGGGAGGTGGAGATTGCAGTGAGCCGAGATTGTGCCACTGCACTCCAGCCTGGCAACAGAGCAAGACTCCATTTCTTAAAAAAACCAAAAACTGGAAAAAAAAAAAAAAAAAAAAATCTTCACTCTCGCTAGGCTTGGTGGCTCACACCTCACACCTGTAATCCTAACACTTTGGGAGGCTGGGGCAGGAGAATCATTCGAGCTCAAGTGTTTGAGACCCTGTCTCTATTTGGAAAATTTAAAAAAAAAAACTATTTTTTTAAAAAAACTTCTTCTCCGAGAAAACACCAAAACGACGGATGTCACAGCAGTGGCACCCGTCGACTGTGGGTAGGACCTGTGACCATGAGAGGGATCGCTCCCAACATAACCACCCTCTAAAAGCTGCACGCTTTCTCCACCTGGTGGCCCAAGCGCAAGTCAGATGGCGGATGACACCAATGCAGCGTGGGGGGCAGGGGGGTGGTGTCAGAGGTCCTGGGATGGGCAACTGAGGTAACTTCCACGGAGGTTTCAGCAGTGGCATCCGGGGCTGGGGTCACGGCCATGGATGGGGCCAAGGCCAGGGCCAAGGCCACGGAGCTTGCAGAGGTAAGGCCGAGGATGAGGAGTGGATGCCCGTCACCAAGCTGGGCTGCCTGGTCAAGGACGTGAAGATCAAGTCCCTGGAGGAGAGCTATCTCCTCTCCCTGCCCATTAAGGAATCTGAGATCATTGACTTTTGCCTGGGTGCCTCTCTCAAGGATGAGGTTTTCAAGATTATGCCGGTGCAGAAGCAGACCTGCGCCAGCCAGTGCACCAGATTCAAGGCATTTGTTGCTATCAGGGACTACAATGGCCACATCCGTCTGGGTGTTAAGTGCTCCACGGAGGTGGCCACTGCCATCCACAGGGCCATCATCCCGGCCAAGCTCTCCATTGTCCCCATGTGCAGAGGCTACTAGGGGAACAAGATCGGCAAGCCCCACATTGTCCCTTGCAAGTGACAGGCCGCTGCAGCTCTGTGCTGGTGCACCTCATCCCCACGCCCAGGGGCACTGGCATCGTCTCAGCACCTGTGCCCAAGAAGCCACTCATGATGGCTGGTATTGATGACTGCTACACCTCAGCCAGGGGCTGCACCGCCACCCTGGGCAACTTCGCCAAGGCCACCTTTGATGCCATCTTTAAGATCTACAGCTACCTGACCCCCGACCTCTGGAAGGAGACTGTATTCACCACGTCTCCCTATCAGGAATTCACGGACCACCTTGTCAAGACCCACACCAGAGCCTCCGTGCAGAGGACCTAGGCTCCAGCTGTGGCTACAACACGGCGTTTTTATGCAAGAAAAATAAAGTAAATTAAGTCTGAAAAACAAACAAACAAAAAAACTGCATTCTGCAGCCCTCAAGAGCTCACGTTTGCATCCAGGGCAGACCCCCGCCCCTCCCCACCACCAGCCAGGGAGGGAAGTTTTCCTAAACTACATTTAACACAAAGTAGATGTAACCAAAACGAGCGAGCGCCTTACCTGCACCTCGCTGGTTTTCTGTCTGATTGCCTCTTCCTTTTCTCGAATGTCTTGTTCCAGTGAATATTTCTCTCTGAATGTTTAAAAACATTTCATGAAAACAAGAGTGAATAGTAAGCCTCCACTCCTCAAGACCCGATTCCGTTCATCCCCACAAAAGCCCCTCTGTGTGCTGGCAGAAGTCTAAGAATGAGCCCCAGTGACTGCTCGCCCTGTACGGTCCCTTCCCCATCGACTGTGGTTAGGACCTGTGACCACGGGAGGGATTGCTCCCAACATAACCACCCTCTAAAACCTGCGTGCTTTCTCCACCTGGCAGCCCAAGTGCAAGTCAGAGACATCCCAAGTGTGATAAGGACCCAACGCACCCTTGCTGACTTTGAAGGTGGAGGGGCCACACGAGGGGGAACGGGGGCAGTGTCTAGGAGCACAGAGTGGCCCTGGTTGACACTCAGCAAGGAAAAAGAGACCCTGGATCCCCAGCTGCAGGGAACTGGATTCTGCCAACACCTGAATGAGCCTGGAAACAGATTCTTCCCCTAGAGCCTCCAGTAAGAGCCCAGCCCAGTCGACGCCTTGACTTCAACCTATGACACCCCAGGCAGCCCAGGAGAGCCTGTCTGGACTACTACTTTGTTGTTTTTTTTGTTTTTTTTTTGAGACAGAGTCTCGCTCTGTCACCCAGGCTGGAGTGCAGTGGCACAATCTCGGGTCACTGCAACCTCTGCCTCCATGGTTCAAGCGATTATCCTGCCTCAGTCTCCCGAGTAGCTGGGACTACAGGCATGTGCCACCACACCCGGCTAATTTTTGTATTTTTAGTAGAGACGGGGTTTCACTCTATTAGCCAGGATGGTCTCGATCTCCTGACCTTGTGATCCACCCGCCTCGGCCTCCCAAAATACTGGTATTACAGGCGTGAACCAACGTGCCTGGCCTTTTTTTTGTTTTTTGTTTTTGAGACAGGCTCTTGCTCTGTCACCCAGGCTGGACTGCAGTGGCACGATCATAGCTCACTGCAGCCTTGACCTCCTGGGCTCAAGCAATCCTCCCACCTTAGCCTCCTGAGTAGCTAGGACCACAGGTGTGTGCCACCAGGCCTGGCAAATTTTGTATTTTTTGTAGCCTAGGTCTCATTATGTGGCCCAGGCTGGTCTGGACCTCCTGGGCTCAACCGATCCTCTCACCTTGGCCTCCCAAAGCACTGGGATTACAGGCATGAGCCATAGCACCCGGCCTTCTTTTATTTTTAAACTGAGATAGAATTCGTGCATGTATTTCCTAGCACTGCTGTAACAAATCACCAACTGGGTGGCTTGGAACAGGAAAAATTGATTACAGGTGTGAGCCACAAGGCCCAGGGTTCAGTGCCCTTATAAGAAGGACCCCAGAGAGCTCCCTTTGCTCCTTTTGCCCTGTGAGGACATGGCAAGAAGGTGACTCTCCACGAATCAGCAAATGGGCCCTCAGCAGACCGGATCTGCTGGTATCTTGAGGTTGGACTTTGCAGCCTCCAAAACTATAAGAAATCTCGATGTTGAAGTCACCCATTCAGAGTGGTCTGTTAAAGCAGTATGAATGGACTAAGACTCTCCTCTTGTGCCCAAAGAGGCTGCCTCAGGGACAGGAACACCATGTGTCTAACAGACCCTGCCTCCTGCCCAGGGACCCAGGACTTGTGCAACAATAAGGCCCTCTCAGGGACATTTCACCAGACACAAAATAACTATGATCATCGGAATATTCATTTCCACAAGCCCAGAAACTTACAATACAAAGTGCTCTTTAAACTGAAGGACCTGACATGCCCTTGCGGGCTCATGGCAGTGTGAAACCGTAAGAGGAAAGCTCAGGCCGGGCGCGGTGGCTCACGCCTGTAATCCCAGCACTTTGGGAGGCCGAGGCGGGCGGATCACAAGGTCAGGAGATCGAGACCATGGTGAAACCCCGTCTCTACTAAAAATAGAAAAAAGTAGCCGGGCGCAGTGGCGGGCGCCTGTAGTCCCAGTTACTCGGGAGGCTGAGGCAGAAGAATGGCGTGAACCCGGGAGGCGGAGCTTGCAGTGAGCCGAGATTGCGCCACTGCACTCCAGCCTGGGCGACAGAGCGAGACTCCGTCTCAAAAAAAAAAAAAAAAAAAAGAGAAAAGCTCAGCCCACACTCCCCCAGTCCAAGGGCCACTCTCAGAGCTACCTGCTCAAGGGGCCACTGCAGGCCCCAGCCTCCTACAGACAGGCGCTCTGCACACACCAGCCTGTCACCTCCATATTGGGGAAACAAGGCTTCTGGCTGTCTGAGGCCACACTGGGGTGATTCATGCCCCAGCATCCCTTCCTAGACGCTGACCCTTGCACGACAGGGGCTCCCTCTATCCTTGGCCTGCCAGTCCTGATTCTCAGGCCTGCCCAGGCTCTAGCATGCTGGCCCTGCATCCTCAAGACACCCTCAGTCTTGTCAGGCTGCACATCCCTGCTGATCGCCAGTTTGGATAATGCAGCCCCCAGGAGCCAGGACAGAACAGGAACCATCCGCTGCACTGAGCATTAAGTGGGGTGTCTGTCTCAGGCCGTGGCTGAGGTTTTTCTTTTTTTTTTTTTGAGACAGAGTCTCGCTCTGTCACCCAGGCTGGAGTGCAGTGGCACAATCTCGGCTCACTGCAACCTCTGCCTCCATGGTTCAAGCGATTCTCCTGTCTCAGCCTCCCAAGTAGCTGGGACTACAAGTGCCTGCCACCATACCGGGCTAATTTTTTGTATTTTTAGTAGAGACGGGGTTTCACCGTGTTAGTCAGGATGGTCTCGATCTCCTGACCTCATGATCCGCCGCTTGGCCTCCCAAAGTGCTGGGATTACAGGCGTGAGCCACTGCGCCCGGCCGGCTGAGGTTTTCTAACCTGCCACCCACCTTGATCCCCTCCAAGACTTAATCTGCCTTTGCTCATCAGGGCTCTGCTAACAGCACAAAACCAAACCCAGAGGAGCTGACAGAATAGTGCACCTGTTAATATGACCCCCGGGGATCCCCCAGCTAGGACTAGGATCCAGTCCTCTCTGGGAAAGTCAAAGCCCTTTCCATTTTCAGCCAAGTAAACAATCTTCTTCCCACAGAGGGCAAAGTACCTTTGGGCCCTTCTGCTTGGTGTCCCGACATCACAAGAGTCCACCCTGTCCTAGAATCGACTGGAAAAAAGATGTTGGCTGGCACAGTGGCTCACGCCTATAATCCTAGCACTTTGGGAGGCCAAGGCCAGAGGATCACTTGAGCTCAGGAGTTCGAGAGCAGCCTGGGCAACATGGCAAAACCCTATCTCTACCAAAAATACAAAAAAATCAGCCAGGCGTGGTGGCATGCACCTGTACTCTCAGCTACCTGGGAGGCTGAGTGGGAAGATCACTTGAGCCCAGGAGGCAGAGGTTGCAGTGAGCTGAGATCACACCACTATACTCTAGCCTAGGTGACAGAGTGAGACTCTGTCTCAAATTAAAAAAAAAAAAAAAAAATCTAGCTGGCATGGTGGTGTGTCCTAGCTACTCAGGAGGCTGAGGTGGGAGGATTGCTTAAGCCCAGCAGACAGAGGCTACAGTGAGCCATGATCACGCCACTACACTCCAGCCTGGGTCAGAGCAAGATCCTGTCTAAAAAATAAACAACAAGGCCGGGCGCTGTGGCTCACGCCTGTAATCCCAGCACTTTGGGAGGCCGAGGTGGGAGGATCACGAGGTCAGGAGATCGAGACCATCCTGGTCAACACGGTGAAACCCCGTCTCTACTAAAAATACAAAAAATTAGCCGGGCGCAGTGGCAGGCGCCTGTAGTCCCAGCTACTCCGGAGGCTGAGGCAGGAGAATGGCGTGAACCCGGGAGGCGGAGCTTGCAGTGAGCCGAGATCGCGCCACTGCACTCCAGCCTGAGAGACAGAGCGAGACTCCGTCTCAGAAAAAAAAAAATAAAAAAAAAAAAAAAAAACAACAAAAAAGGATGTCATTCGTGAAGAGGATCCAGAGCGGAATACAGGAAGTGACTTCATTTCTTTATACCAGACTCTAAAAGTGCAGACAGCCCATCCAAAGCCCTCGTTTACACACGAGGAAACTAAGGCACTAGGCAAGGAGGTGAGTCAGAGACCTGGAGGCCCCTTCGCACCGTCAGCTGCTGGGTCCTAAGCCCGCTCCTCACCATCCGAGACCCAACTGCTCTAGCTGTCAAGGCCTTCCTAGCACTGGGGAGGGGCTGGTGCCTGGGGCTACTGAGCTGCGACCTGCCTGAGACCACACAGCTGCCACAGGCTCTGCCCATGACCTGCCTGGAACCACACAGCTGCCACAGGCTCTGCCCATGACCTGCCTGGAACCACACAGCTGCCACGGGCTCTGCCCACGACCTGCCTGGAACCACACAGCTGCCACGGGCTCTGTCCATGACCTGCCTGGGACCACACAGCTGCCACCCACAGGCTCTGGTCAAGACCTGCTGGGACCACACAGCTGCCAGCTCTGCCCACGACCTGTCTGAGACCACACAGCTGCCACGGGCTCTGCCCACGACCTGTCTGGGACCACACAGCTGCCACGGGCTCTGCCCATGACCTGCCTGGGACCACACAGCTGCCACAGGCTCTGGTCAAGACCTGCCTGCGACCACACAGCTGCCATGGGCTCTGCCCACGACCTGCCTGGGACCACACAGCTGCCATGGGCTCTGTCCATGACCTGCCTGGGACCACACAGCTGCCACCCACAGGCTCTGGTCAAGACCTGCCTGGGACCACACAGCTGCCAGCTCTGCCCACGACCTGCCTGGGACCACACAGCTGCCACGGGCTCTGCCCATGACCTGCCTAGGACCACACAGTTGCCACGGGCTCTGGTCAAGATCTGCCTGGGACCACACAGCTGCCACGGGCTCTGCCCACGACCTGCCTGGGACCACACAGCTGCCATGGGCTCTGCCCACGACCTGCCTGGGACCACACAGCTGCCACGGGCTCTGCCCATGACCTGCCTGGGACCACACAGCTGCCACGGGCTCTGGCTGAGGCTGATTCAAATGGAAAATGTCATTCTTCAAGCCCCTTGAGCCAGTTGAGGATCTCAGAAGCTATATGTTTTCCTTCGTTCTGAATAAACCTGTGATGAGCAAACTTCCAGGTGAGTCTCTGATATTTCCTATAACAACCTGGGAGAGTTCGTGTAACGTTTGGATGCGGAGGGAAGGGCCGTTTCCAACATACCTTTGTAACTGGGCAATCTCTTGACTGATGTCATCGAGCTCCTTCACGCCAGTAAACTCCCCGGAGCCGAGAGAGCCCGAGCTGTCCTAGAATCGAATTCAGAGGCGAGATCTCTAATTAGCAATCTGACATCACCTGACAGGAGGCACCAGCAGGTCTTGGGCCCCGGGATAAAATTGTCCCGTTAGTACACAGGGTGAGGTAGCCAAAGTGCCAGCCCCCTGCCTGGGGAAATACCTGGGCAGCCAAGCCACCCTCCCAGGGGCCCCTACTGGGGAAGGAAGGGACCACAGGCAGCACCCACCACCAATTGTGGGCTGTGTGCCACCAGTGCCACCTGGTGGCAGGCGGCGAGAAGGGATGTGAATACCCCCCGGGGCGTGACCAGCACTCACCGGGCCGGGCGTGCCTCTCTCTGAGGGCGGGACCATGTCCGGCGAGAGGACTTGAGGGGGGTCGATGCCTTTACTGACCTTCTGCTGAATGAAATACATAGCTAACGCGAATTGGTCTTTGCTTAACTTCCCCGTTTGCCTCGTATCGGCCAGGGCCCTGGGAGAAACGTGGGGATGCTAATTACACATCACAGGCTCCAACTCAGCCTGAACACAAGTCACCGATCCCATGCTTTTCAAAAATCACAGTGACGAAAACAATGGCAGGGCGCAGTGGCAAGCCCCAGCTCCTTTCCTACTTCACATCTCCTTCCCAGAAAGTGGCCCGGGGGTTCCCCACTCCCAGCGTCCCCCACCCTAGGAGGGCTGTCGGGGCTGGAGAACCCTGAGGCCCTGCCCCTGGGCTGAGGAGCCGACCCCTTGGGAAACCTCACTAGGGCTAAGAGATGCAGCTGCCTCTTCCTTTGGTTTATCTCGTGCGTGGGGCAGGTTCTGATGCCGCATGCGTGGAGTAGACCAGCCCTTCCGTGGAAATGGGTGCGGAGACCAAGCATCCACACGCGGCTCTGGGTCATCTGAATGGCCCCGGTCACTGGCCTTCAATGGGGGTGACAGCAGCACTTTGGGGTGTCATCATGATGAAGGAAGAATCAGCAACGACTCTCTTTCCTTGTTATGAACAGAATGTTTATGTCCCCCCAGATTCCTATGTCCAAATCCTACCCCTCAATGGGATGGTGTTGGGAGATGGGGCCTCTGGGGGGCGATGAGGTCATGAGGGTGGAGCCTCATAAGTGGGATTAGTGCCCTTATAAAAAAGGCTCTAGAAGGCTCTCTCTGCTTCTTTTGCCATGTGAGGACACAGCGAGCAGGCGGCCATCTACAAACTAGGCAGTGAGCCCTCACAAGACACTGGATCTGCCAGTGCCTGGATCACGGACTCCCATCCTGCAGAGCTGTGAGAAACGTCTGTTTCTAAGCCACTCTGTTCGTGGCAGTTTGTCACAGCAGCCCAATGGACTAAAACACTCCTCTTGTGCCCAAATGAGGCTGCCACAGGGGCATGGCCGCAATGCACAGGACAGTCCCCCACAACTAAGCATCCTCTGCCCACATGGCTCTTGGATGTCCTGAAAGATAGGCCAAGGCAGCATTTGAATAGCAGCACACAGTGGTTCCATGGAACTGAGGTGACAGGCTCCCCAACACTCATAATCAAGGAGCCAGCCAGGGCCGGTCATGGTGGCTCACGCCTGTAATCCCAGCACTTTGGGAGCCAAAGTGGGCGGATCACCTGAGGTCAGGAGTTCGAGACCAGCTTGGCCAACATGGGGAAATCCTGTCTCTACTAAAAATACAAAAATTAGCCGAGCATGGTGGCCTGTAATCCCAGCTGCTCAGGAGGCTGAGGCACAAGAATCACTTGAACCTGGGAGGTGGAGGTTGCAGTGAGCAGAGATCGCACCAATGCACTCCAGCCTGGGCAACAGAGTGAGTCTCTGTCTCAAAAAAAAAAAAAAGGCGGGGGAACCAGCCAGGAAAGGAAGGAAAGGACCCTTGTTGATCAAGGATAAGGCCTTGGGGTCTGTGAAAAATGTCTTCCCTCACCCATGCCACCCTCTCAACATGGGACCTCCTTTCCCACCTCGTGTGTAGTTATGGCAGAAGCCGTTATGGCAGAAGCTCCCCACTCTACCAAAGAGAGCTGGGACAGTACTAACAGACTTATTTATGCCCAAATGCGGTGCATGAACAGAGTTGCGGAGAATGAGCAGATTTCAAGGAACATCGCTGATAAAGGCTGCTTTAAAATGCCTAGTTGTCCCCACAGTTGGAGGCCCTGACGATTTCACACTGCCACTATCTCTCCCCAGTCTACCCCTGCGGGCCCCAGCCTGCTCATGGGCTGCAGCTGCCTCTCCACTCCCGTCCCTTCTCTGCTCCGGCCATCTCTCAAGGAGCATGGGGTCCGAGGCCCACCTGTGGAGGGTTCTGAGAGAAAAAGGGCTTGGGGGTGGCTCAGTCGGCAGCCATCCGGCTCTGACACCACATCCTGCTCTGCTGACCTGTACGGTGGCGGCCATTGCAGGGACAAAGCCTCCATCTTCATGCTCCCCCTCTTTCCAGTCCCTCCTAGGAGGTGTGTCGTCTACACTGGGTCATGGCCCCGCCCCGGGCACCCACAGACACATCTTTCCTTGTGGTTGTTTATTCAAGAGCCCAATTATCCTTTCCTTTCCCTTTGCTGCCTGCATGGAATGACCTCTGAGTTCCTTCTTTTGATCCAGGTGGATTCATGATTTCCTGTGTCATTTCCATGTCGTTACATCATGTACCAATTGCAGCATGCATTATAAATTACTTTCCCTCTACTGCCCCCTGGACATGACAGTCAGGGTGTCAGGGCACTAACCAGGAATTGTGTGTATGTTGGTTTCAGAGTTAAAGGGGACACTGTTTTTGTGGTTTCTAAAAGGGACAGTGGATCTGAGGCAGGTGAGACCCATTGTCCCTAGCCAGTCAGAGGTGGCTTGGCCGTTTGGGTGATGACTCTGTGACAGCTGGTTCTCAGGCTCCCACCTCACAGTATGGACATCTGTGAATTACCACTAAGGATAGTCATTTCCCCCAAGCCACTAAGTAACATCCTGAATTTCACTGCTCTACTTGGAGGGATTTGCCTCTTGAGAATTATCCAACAATTCTCTCCTTTTGATAGCTCCCAAGTGAAGCCTTCTCTAAGGCCGCAAAGTTCTGAGCAACAAGCTCAAAAGTGACTTCAGCCCTGGCCAGTGGCAAGAGGAGTGCCCCAGCCCTATAAAGTAGGCTGTGTCCAGCCCTGGGGGAAAGTGGGGGTGAGGCCGACTCCTCAACTGGGCTCTGAGGTGCAGAAAGGGTCTCCCTGTGCTCACCCGCCTGCCGGGAGCCAAAGCACTGGCCTTTCCAGAGGAGGGCCTCCCACAGGAGGCAGCTGTATCCCCCATCCCCATCACCACCCCCTAGGCCATTCTGCTAGAGGCTCCAAGACCCTGCTGCCCACACCTCCCGAAGGCAGCTGTGGCAAAGGCCAGGCCTCCTGCTAGAACCAGTATCATGGCCAGCAAGAACAGGGCCCAGCTGTGTGAGCAGATGGCCTGGGAGCTCTTGAGAGGGGCCAGAGGGCCCTCCTACTGGAAGACAGTGAACTGACCAGCATGGAGCATGGGCTTCAAGCCTTGGCACATGCACCTTGCTCAGCCTCTGTCAGGCCAGGGAGAATAAAGGACACCAGACACAGTGGAAGCCTATGACAAGCTGGAAGGGGCCCCCTGACCACCACCCTCCACAGTCTTCACCCATAGGCCCCCTGGAGCAACCCACAGCCACGACTGCCACCCGTCCGGCCTCACCATATGTGTGCTAGAAGGTTCTGGGTGAGGCCCGAGTGCATGAAGATCTCCTTCACCTCCTGGCCACTCACGTAGCCGTCCAGGTCCAGATCGGTCTTCAGGAATATCTCATCAAATCGCATCTTGTCTGCCACCGGCACCACCCAGTTCACTGTTGGCTGAAACAGTTTTTGGCAAAACAGTTAATCTGGAAGCTTTTTATGACCCCCAGACACATGCTTTTTGATGATGGGGCGATTAAAGCACTTCCATGCACATTTGGCATCAAACTCTCCTCACTTCCATGAGCTGAGGGCAGATGAGATCCTTGTTCTGCAACTGGCTAAACTGAGGCTGGGACAGGTTGAGGCTGGCTCTGTGAAGCTCACCCAGATGCCAGTCTGTACCTCTCTCCACCCCATCACCCGCTCTGCTTGTCCATCTACCCTGCCACCTAGGGCGTGAGGGAGGCTGTGATCTTCAGGGGATGGGTTCAAACATGCCAGGAAAGATCCCCCTGAGCACCCACTTGGAAGGACTGTCCCCGGAGAGCCAGCCCTGCCACATGCCAGCCTCCTTGGTTCTCCCACTCTTCGTCCCCCAGAGGCTGCCCTACAGGCAGCCAAAGTGTCCCGTCCCAGGACTCTGTAGACCACTCTTCTATGTCCCTGACCCCGCTCCTGAGACAACAGATACCCCCAAGCTATCAGTGCAGACACACCACTTACAGGTAACAGATGAGACCCCATTATCCAAGAGGGCCGCCACCCACGAGGCCCCACCAACATTCATGCACTCCCAACCCCGGCAGGGCAGACGGAGCCACAAACCCAGTGCAGCTTGAGGTTCACAGCCCCGGGGCTGGGCCACCTGCTGCACCTGCGGCCCCTCTCACCGCCGGCTCAGTTAACTTGAGAGAGGCAAACGCCATCATGGGTCAACCAGGGTCCGGTCACCTCCTGGTTCAGAAGCATCGAGGCCCCTCAGGCACTCGGGCAGGCCTCTTCCGTGGCCCACTCCGCCTGCATTACCGCGGGCCTTCAACAAACCCACCACGCCACAGTTCACGGCATCTGTGTCCTGAACTCTAGACATGCTTTTCCTCTTCCCGTTTTTTTTTTTTTTTAAACTAATATTTATACAAATCACTCCTTTTAAACAATCTCGTAATAGCAATGAGAATCAATACCTGATTGAATTATCTAGATGATGAGGAAGTGGAGAGAAAAAGGTCAGGCAAATGTGGCTGGAGGGATCGATTGTTCCTCCTCCACACAGCAACTGTACAAAAAGCTGCAACCCACTCCTCACCTTCAACGAATGCCATGATGCCTGAAACTGCCACTCAAAGTCATTCCTCTTAGTTATGAAAGGATTTCTTAGGCCGGGAGCGGTGGCTCACGCCTACAATCCTAACACTTTGGGAGGCCAAGGTGGGTAGACAACCTGAGGCCAGGAGTTTGAGACCAGCTTGGCCAACGTGGTGAAACCCTACTTACTAAAAACATGAAAAATTAGCCAGGTGTGGTGGTGGGCACCTGTAATCCCAGTTACTCGGGAGGCTGAGGTGGGAGAATTGCTTGAACCTGGGAGGTGGAGGTTGCAGTGAGCTGAGATTGTGCCACTGCATTCCAGCCTGGGCGACAGAGCAAGACTCTGTCTTGGGGGAAAAAAAAAAAAAGGATTTCTCAAAGAGTTATCACAGTGTTGACAACCCAAAGATGTCCATAGGATTGAGGAGAAGGGACTCATGGTCAAGAATGGGAAACAATGGTTAAACTCATTTACTCTTCATGAACAAGTCTCCTGTGATGTCCAAATCTAACGGGCTCCTGATATCAACTCGGGAAATTCAGAAAGCAAGCTTGGGAAACAAGGGATACCATGTGACCCAGATCAGCTTAGTTCAGGGGTTTTACGTAGCAAGTATGTGTGATGAAGTACAGCAAGGACTTGATCAAACAATTTATCAAAATCTATGGAGCCAGGCCAGGCACAGTGCTCCTGCCTGTAATCCCAGCACTTTGGGAGGCCAACGCAGAAGGATCCCGCAAGCCCAGGAGTTCAAGACCAGCCAGCATAACACAGCAAGACCCCATCTCTACAAAAGAAATAAATAAATAAATAAAATTAGCTAGGTGTGGTGGCATCCGCCTGTCCCAGCTACTGGGGAGGCTAAGGTGGAAGGATCACTTGAGCCCAGGAGGTTGAGATAGCAGTGAGCCGTGATTGCCCCATTGCACTCCAGCCGGGGCAGCAGAGCAAGATCCTGTCTCTTATATATTAAAAAAAAAAAAACAAAATCTGTGGATCTAATTCAAATGATGAGAGTTCAGATGGCAAGAGCAACCTGACTTTTACTTGTGGCATTGTACTATGTAAATTTTGTGAGCTGCATCAAGTCTGGTGGACATAAAGATGCCAACAAATGAATTCTAATAAGAAATGCCGGCCGGGCGCAGTGGCTCAAGCCTGTAATCCCAGCACTTTGGGAGGCCGAGACGGGTCGGATCAGCGAGGTCAGTGAGATCGAGCGCGCATCCTGGCTAACCCCACGGGTGAAACCCGTCTCTACTAAAAAAAAATACAAAAAAAACCCAAGCAGGGCGAGGTGGCAGGCACAAGCCTGTAGTCCCAGCTACTCGGAGGCTGAAGGCAGGAGATGGCGTGAACGCCCGGGAGGGCGGAAGGGGGCTTGGGGCAGTGAGCCTGAGATCCGGCCCCACTGCACTCCAACCTGGGCGAGCAGAGTGAGGGACGTCGTCTCAAAAAAAAGAAATGGGCTTGCTGCCTTTAAGTCAAAGGGCTACAGCAAGCTAACCTCAGAAGCCAGGGATCACAAAGAGGTAATGGGAGTCAGACAAGCTGAGCTGTGGCAGGACATAGAAACAAGGGGGGTTCTGTGTCCCACGAGTCCAAAGAAGAAATTATGTATGAAATTATGGCTCTGGGATGACAAGAGTCCTAATCATATTTGCTGGGCAAACAAAAGGAACTCACTGCCTGATTTCTGGGGCCTCAGGGTAGGTCAGCAGCAAGATTCTGGTGCAAACTTGGCTGTAAACCCAACACGGGGCAGCCTTGCCCGTGGAGTTGGCTCTCCCAGTGAGGGCTGGGCTTTAAGGCCGGCTCAGCAGTCACAGGTCCCAAGGGAAGCAGATCAGACCCTGGTGGCTGGAAGTGGCTTCACTCAAACCTGGCATGAGGGCAAAATTGGGTGGCCTTTGGGGGCCCCAGACAAGAGTGTTGCTGGCCTGGAGATGAGGAAGGTGGAGTGCGGGGAGCATGTGAACTGTAGGCCCCCAGAAATGCTGTTTTTCATGACTGTGATCCTATCAGTGCCGTCCTCGGGGCAGGAGCTATACCCTCCCACCCCACCCCAACAGGGGCCACTGGTAAAACCAGTCTAGTCAGAGGGTCTCGAGAAAACCACCAGAAGATCACCAGAGAGGCGGGTTATGAAGCTGGGTGACCTGTGCCCGCCAGTGAGTTTGGCCCCATTAGCTTCCTTGCCAGTAAAGCACCTCCCCAACCTGACCTTCAATACTTAATAAGAACTCTTGGCAAGAGCTCTGCAGACACAGGCTGGGCACAGTGGCTCACACCTGTAATCCCAGCACTTTGGGAGGCCGAGGCAGGAGGATCACTTGAGCCAAGGAGTTCAAGACCAGCCTGGGTAACATGGGGAGACCTCATCTCTATTGAAATAATGAGATAAACGAATACGTTTTTTTTTTTGAGATGGAGTTTCGCTCTTGTTGCCCGGGCTGGAGTATAGTGGCGCGATCTCAGCTCACTCCAACCTCCGTGTCCCAGGTTCAAGTGATTCTCCCGCCTCAGCTTCCCGGTGGCTAGGATTACAGGTGCGCACCACCACGCCCAGCTAATTATTTTTTGTATTTTCAGTAGAGGCGGGGTTTCACCATGTTGGCCAGGATGGTCTCGATCTCCTGACCTCGAGACCTGCCCACATCGGCCTCCCAAAGTGCTAGGATTACAGGCGTGAGCCACTGCGCCTGGCTGCAAATATTTTTTAAAAACATTTCATCACAAGCTTGACCGCTCTGGGGTTGCATGTTAAGAACTCCCAAGAAACATCCTACTGTGCTCTGAGAGGGGACTGTGCCCACTGAGGGCTCCATACCTGTGTTTGCTTGAGGCTGTGCTTGGGGGACAGGCTCCCTGTGCTATTGAGGCTGCTGACGCTGCCATGGGACGGCGTGGAGCGGAGGCTGTCTTTTGGTGGGGGGCTGGCAGGCAGGACAGGGACGGCGCCAGGGAACACAGTCTTCTTTCTCTTGGAGGGGGGGATGAGGGACGGGGGCAGGGCGGAGGGCACGGGCTCCTTCTCCAGGGCTCGGTACACCAAGTGCATGGCCTGCGGGTGCAAACGACAATGGCGCTGAAGGGACAAGGCTGGGGCCGGGCACCACCAAGAGAAGGCAGAGGGCAGCCCTTTTGGGGGCTGCAGTGACAGGACAGACACTCTGTGAGGACACTCCCAAGCTGACCAGAGGGAAAAAACAATCATTCCAGATGAGTTATCTTTTATGTGTAACTTCCGAGACATGTGTTGAATTATTCCTTGAGACTGAAATGCACACAGAAAGAATTCAATCAAGCCAGACTCGGTATGCATCCCTTCACCACTCAGGGAGGCCACCGGCTCCAGGGCTGGCACCTTCCCAGTACTGATTTGGAAGTCTAAAGACACCAGAAGAGAGGCTTGTACTTCGAGACGTTCAGGAGTAGTCCCAGCTACTTGGGAGGCTGAGGTGGGAGGATCGCCTGAGCCCAGGAGAGGGAGGCTGCAGTGAGCTGTGATCGCGCCACTGCACTCCAGCCTGGGTGACAGAGCGAGACCCTGTCTCTATAAAACAAAACAAAAAACACTGGAACTGAGGATGCATCCATGAGGCAGGCCACAGCCATAGAAATAAATTCTTTGTAGAAGGCCAACTAATAAAAGTGTAAGGAATGATGGTTTTGATGAGCACATCACCGTTTGGGAGCCAACATCATCGTAATTAATCTTGCCAGGTTAAGGCGAGACTCATCAGCAGCAGTGGAACTCTTAGGGAAGAGTCTGAGAGTCATAGGTGCTGACAGTATCAAGGCATCCCCCACAAGAGACAAACTGAGCACCGAGGGAAAAAGAGCAACTGCCCAGAGGAAGCCACAACCTTGCCCCACCTTGACCCAGTGAAGCATGTCAACATGGCAGTAAGAAGGCATGTTGACATCATGCTCCCCCAGGTGGGAGACCCATGTGGGGCAGGTGTGACCTCCGTGGGATTCCTGTCCCACAACAGTGCACAACCTGGGTCATCAAGAGGACCTGGCAGCCAGGCCCAGGGACACTCCATAACTGCTGGCCTGTGCTCTTCAAAATGTTGACGTTGAAGCCAGGCACGGTGGCTCATGCCTGTAATCTCAGCAGTTTGGAGGCCGAGACAGGCAGATCACCTGAAGTCAGGAGTTCAAGACCAGGCTGGCCAACAGGGAGAAACCTCATCTCTACTAAAAATACAAAAAAAAAAAAAAATTAGCCAGGCATGGTGGTGAGCGCCTATAATCCCAGCTACTTGGGAGACTGAGGCAGGAGAATCGCTTGCATCCAGGAGGTGGAGGTTGCAGTGACCTGAGATTGCGCCACGGCACTCCAGCCTGGGTGACAGAGTGAGATTGCCTCTCAAAAACAAAACAACAACAACAAAAAAACAAAAAGTCCATGTCGAGAGACACGAAGAGAGACAGAGGAACTGTTCTAGATTCCAGGAAATGAAAGACAAAGGACAACAGGATGTAACACACAGGACTGGGTTCTCTTTAGATACAGGGACATTTCTGGGACAACTCATAAAATCTGAGTAATATCCTGGGATTAGATAATAACAGACACACTCATACAGAATATAAGATGTATATACAGGATATAATGAAAATATCATAAATGCGATGCTATCATGTGAATTTCCTGATTTTGAAGTGGATAATGGTTATGTGTAAGAGAAGTCCTTCTTTTTAGGAAATATGCACTGAAGTGTTTATGGATGAAGAGGCATCATGTCTGCAACTTAACTCTAAAATAGTTCAAAGGTAAACTTCACGCAGCAGTAGGGAGGGAGAAAGAGTTAGGGAGGGAGGGAGGAAGAAGGGAGGAGAAAAATAAGACAAATGTAGTAAATTAGCGACACTGGGAAATTTGAGTGAAGAGTTTTCAAAAGAATTCTCTGTGGGAGGTCGCCTGAGTTCGAGGCTGCAGCAAAGGTATTCACGTCACTGCACTCCAGCCGGGGTGACAAAACAAGACTCTGTCTCAAAAACAGAAAATAATTCTCCATATTACAGGTTGAGTATCCCTTATCCAAAATGCTTGAGACCACAGGGTTTCAGATTCTGGAGTTTTCTGAATTTCTGAAGGTGTGTGTTACACGTACTGGTTCAGCATTACTAATTCAAAAATCTGAAATCCTCCAATGAGCATTTCCTTTGAGTGTCATGTTGGCGCTCAAAAAATTTCAGATCTCGAAGCATTCCGGTTTCAGACTTTCAGATTAAGGATACACTCAACCTGTAATGAAACTTTTCTACATACAAAGAACTATGTCAAGATAAACACTTAAAAACTGAAAGAAGGAAGGCCGGGGGTGGTGTCTTACACCTGTAATCCCAGCACTTTGGGAGGCAAAGGCGGGCGGATCACTTGAGGCCAGGAACTCAAGACCAGCCTGGCCAATATGGTAAAACCCCATCTCTATCACAAATACGAAAAAATTATCTGGCTGTGGTGGAGTGCACCTGTAATTCCAGCTACTTGGGAGACTGAGGCATGGGAACTGCTTGAACCCGGGAGGCAGGCTGCAGTGAACCAAGATGGCACCACTGCACTGCAGCCTGGGTGACAGAGCAAGATTCTGTCTCAAAAAAAAAAAAAAGAAAGGAGGTCGGGCACAGTGGCTCACGCCTGTAATCCCAGCACTGTCAGAGGCCAAGGCGGGTGGATCATGAGGCAGGAGATCGAGACCATCCTGGCCAAAATGGTGAAACCCTGTCTCTACTAAAAATACAAAAATTAGGTAGGTGTGGTGGCAGGCGCCTGTAGTCCCAGCTACTCGGGAGGCTGAGGCAAGAGAACTGCTTGAACCTGGGAGGCAGAGGTTGCCATGAGCCAAGATCGCACCACTGCACCAGCCTGGCGACAGAGCAAGACTTCATCTCAAAAAAGAAAGAAACAAGAAAAACAAACGAATCCAGCAACCCCTGTGCACTGCACATTTCCTTCCTGGGGTGGGTGGGAAGGAAACAGCAGGACCTACCACAGCGAACTCGTCTCGGTCCAAGTGCCCATCCTTGTCAATGTCACTGAGGTCCCAGACCTGCAAGGGAGAGACCAGCATGGGTTACTGTGGGAGGAAAGACTGGGTGAGAGTGAGACCACCTGCCAGAACTCAGACTCTCAGCCATGGTACTCACTGGGCTGAGGACAAGGAAGTCAATGTACATTTCAGAACCAGTCTGCGAGTTCTCAGAAAAACCATCACCTGTAAAGTACTGTCAGCTATCAGATGCATGGTCTGACAATCATCATGATTATCATCATGGCCAAGGCTACATTTTAAACTTAGCCTGAGTTTCTTCTTTATCGTCTTACAGAGACATCTTAGAAAAGACAGCTTTGATTGAGTACAGGTGTTGCCCTAAACACCCACACTCCCTACGCTCACTCCTGCAAACCCCACCCCTCCCTTGCATTCTCAGCTGGGCAGGGCTGTGAGCTCATGTCTGAGCATGTCTGTGGGTCTTGTCTCCTCTCCCCAGCAGTGGATGGTGAGACAGGTGTCAGGTCCACTCAGTGTGCTGAAGAGGAGGCAGGCAGGCAGGCGTGGGTTCTGGACTGTGCATAAGACACGTGCAGATCTCAAGCACCATTACGCTGCCAGCTTCCTAACCCATGCCAGCCTTCCTGGATGGGCATACCTGCCTGCCAGCCCAATGCTGGGCAGGATGGCAGTCTCTGGATCTAAGAAGATGCCCACTGCTCTATCCATGATGCTTCATGTGTCACCATCACCCCTCCCCAGCCAATCACCAGGGCTTCAGTCCATGCAGGTTTCTCACGTCTGGGTCCTCCTCTCCACCTCTGCTGCTGTGCCTGAGGCTCATGACTCCCCAGCTCGCACAGCCAAGAGCCTCCAGCTGGCCTCCCTATCCCAGTCTTGTCCCTATGGCTACCATAGGGACTGTTCCAGAACACACATCTGACCCTGCCTCACCCTGCTCCTCAGCCTGGCAGATGGGGGCCCTGTCACCTCGCTGCTGCTGAGCCCCTGATGGTAGCAGGTCCCTGCACCCCAGCCCAGCCTCCACAGACTCCACGGGGTCCTCCACCTACTTTGCCAGGGATCCAGGACTCCAACAGGCCTTTCTGGCTCCACAGTCCTCCCTCAGCCCAGGCCTTCCCCACCTCGGCACTACTGCCTGTTAGGGCCGGATCACTCTCTGGGGTGTGGGCCATGACGTGTACTGCAGGGCATTGAGCAGCGTTCCTGGCCTTGACCCGCCAGATGCCAGCAGCACCCGACCCAGGTGTGACAACCAAAAATGTCCCCAGGCACTGCCCAATGTCCCCTGGGGGCCCTGGGGGGGCAGAAGTGCCCAGGGGGAGCCCTGGCCCTAACTGGCATGCCAGGCTACCTGTGGCCTCTGCCGTCACTCAAGCTGCCCACATGCCCAGACTTCCGCCAGAGTCCCCCTCACCCTGGAGGATGTGACCAGCAGCACCTCTTCTAGAAAGTCCTCCCTGGCTGCCCTGCTCCCCGTGCTCAAGCGGGTCAGGGGCCCTCCCCTCTACCACTGTCCTCACTGGGCCAAACTGTGATTATCAGGGATGCTGTCGGGGGTGTCTAATGGACAGGGCAGGTGAAGAGGGCAGGCTCTGGGGACAGCTGCTCCAGAATGCACACTGGATCCTGCCCCGCCCTGCCTGCAATAGGACCTCATCCCTTATCCACCCTTCCACAACTGTGCAACCAGGGTGACTTCCCAACCACCCTGAACATCTGCTTCCCCATCTGAAAAACAGGGGGTGGAGGGGTGTGAGACACAGTCCTTAACAGCATGGTTGCAAGTGCTGGATGTGTGTCTTCATGCAGAGCACTAGGGCCCGGCCTGCACACACTAAGCCCTCAGTAAATAAGTAAATAAGTAAACGCATCTTGGCTATTACTTATTTGACTTCTTTGATGGTACCTAATCATCCCCACCTTCCCACTGCCCAGCACAAGGCATAGTCCACTGCAGGCTCTGAAAAATGCTTACTGAATGACTGACCAGATGCATGATGTGTGGGTGCCTGGATGCACAGATGGATGATGGCACGGATGCAAGTGTGCACGGATGAATGCATAAATACGGACACACAGGGACATGTCAGCATAGACGTATGGGCACAAAGATGCATGCACAGATGTGTGGATAAATACATTGCATGGGCATGTGCACACACAGATGAATGGATCATACGGATGCAGAGGGACATGGGTGCATAGATGCATGGATACAAAGATGCATGCATGGCTAGGCACAGTGGCTCACGTCTGTCATCCATCCCAGCACTTCGGGAGTCCAAGGCGGGCGGATCACCTGAGACCAGGAGTTCGAGACCAGCCTGGCCAACATGGTGAAACCCAATCTCTACTAAAAATAAAAAAATTAGCTGGGCGTTATGGTGTGCACCCATGGTCCCAGCTACTCAGGAGGGAGGCAGAGGTTGCAGTGAGCCAAGATGGCGCCAGTGCACTCCAGCCTGGGCAACAGCGAGACTTCATCTCAAGGGAAAAAAAAAAAAAAGTTAAATAAATAAATAAAATAAAACATATTTATGGTTAGATAGAAGGTGTAAGTTCTTTTATTTTATTTTTTCTAAAGACACAGAGTCACTCTGTCACCTAGGCTGGAGTGCAGTGGTGCGATCTCAGCTCACTGCAACCTCTGCCTCCCAGGTTCAAGCGATTCTCCTGTCTCAGCCTCCCAAGTAGCTGGGACTACAGGAGCATGCCATCATGCCCAGCTAATTTTTATATTTTTAGTAGAGACGGCGTTTCACCATGTTGGCCAGGATGGTCTTGATCTCTTGATCTCGTGATCCGCCCACCTCGGCCTCCCAAAGTGCTGGGATTATATGTGTGAACCACCATGCCCGGCCAGAAGGAATAAATTCTAATGTTCAATAGCACAATAGGGGAACTATAGCTAACAATAATTTATCGTATCTTTCAAAGTCTCTAGAAGAGAAGATTTGAATGTTCCCAGTACAAGGAAAGGATCAATGTTTGAGGTAATGGATATGCTAATTACCCTGCTGGGATCATTAAACATTGTGTGCATGTATCAAACCATCACGTGGACCTCACATTATAATTATTATGTATCATCAAAAATAAAAATAATAAAACATAGAATAAAGCAAACCACGGTCGACTCTTGAACAACATGGTTTGTTGAACTGCGCAAGCTCACGTATGTTCGTATTTTTCTAATCAAATGTGGATACAAAATACAGTAGTCGTGGGATGTGAAACCTGAATATACAGAGGGCCAACTTTTGTATCTGCAGGGCTGACTGCAGGACTTGAGTATGTGTACATTTTGGTGTATGATGGGGCCCTGGAACCAATCCCCCTAAGTATCCCAAGGGACAACTGTACTTTTAGTTAACAGAAACAAATTGAGGCTTTTAAAATTAATTAATTTGGCCAGGCGCGGTGGCTCACGCTTGTCATCCTAGCACTTAGGGAGGCCGAGGCAGGTGAATCACGAGATCAGGAGTTCAAGACCAGTCTGGCCAACACAGTAAAACCCCCTGTACTTTTAGTTAACAGAAACAAATTGAGGCTTTTAAAATTAATTAATTTGGCCAGGCGCGGTGGCTCACGCTTGTCATCCTAGCACTTAGGGAGGCCGAGGCAGGTGGATCACCTGAGGTCAGGAGTTCAAGACCAGCCTGGCCAACATGGTGAAACCCCATCGCTATTAAAAATACAAAAATTGGCTGGGCTTGGTGGCTCACACCTGTAATCTCAGCACTTTGGGAGGCCGAGGCGGGCGGATTACGAGGTCAGGAGATCAAGACCATCCTGGCTGACACAGTGAAACCCCATCTCTCTAAAAATATGAAACATTAGCCGGGTGTGGTGGCAGGCACCTGTAGTCCCAGCTACTCGGGAGACTGAGGCAGGAGAATGGTGTGAACCTGGGAGGCGGAGCTTGCAGTGAGCAGATATCGTGCCACTGCACTCCAGCCTAGGCGACAGAGCGAGACTCTATCTCAGTAAAATAAATAAATAAACACAAATACAAATACAAATACAAAAATTAGCCGGGCATGGTGGCTCACGCCTGTAGTCCCAGCTACTCGGAGGCTGAGGCAGCAGAATCGCTTGAACCTGGGAGGCAGAGGTTGCGGTGAGCCAAGATCATGCCACTGCACTCCGGACTGGGTGACAGAGCAAGACTGTCTCACAAAAAAACAAAACCAAAAAAAATTATTTATTTATTTATTTTTAAAACAGAGTCTCACTCCTGTTGCCCTGGCTAGAGTGCCATGGCACAATCTCAGCTCATTGCAGCCTCGACTTCCCAGGCTCAGGTATGATTCTCCCACCTCAGCCTCTAGAGTAGCTGGGACTACAGTCGCACACCACCACAACTGGCTAATTTTTTTATTTTATTTTTTCAGTATGGATGGGGTTTCACCATGTTGCCCAAGCTGGCCTCAAACTCCTGGACTCAAGTAATCTGCCTGCCTCAGCCTCCCAAAGTGCTGGGATTACAGGCATGAGCCACCACACCAGCCTAAATTGAGGGTTTTTTATTTTTTTTGACACAGAGTCTCGCTCTGTCACTGTGGCTGGAGTGCAGTGGTGCGATCTCAGCTCACTGCAATCTCCACCTACCGATTTCAAGTGATTCTCCTGCCTCAAGCCTCCTGAGTATATGGGATTACAGGCAAACACCACCATAACCTGGCTAATTTTTTTTTTTTTTTTTTGAGACAGAGTCTTGCTGTGTCTCCAGAGACTGGGAGTGCAGTGGGTGTGATCTCGGCTCACTGCAAGCTCCACCTCCCGGTTCAAGCCATTCTCCTGCCTCAGTCTCCCCGACCGCTGGGAATACAGGTGCCCCGGCCACC